CAGCAGCAGCAGCAGCAGCAGCAAAAGTTTTACAATCCTTTTGCATCTCTAACAAGAGAAACAGCACTGAAAAAATAACGAAGAAAACGGCTTTCTGGGGCTGTGCATGCATAATAAGAAAGTCTGAGGGTATCGGCGGGGGGCCCCCGTGTTTCGGTGGGTGGGGGCCCCCCCCCTGCTGCTGCTGCTGCTGCTGCTGCTGCTGCTGCAGCAGCAGCAGCAGCAGATGCTGAGGCTGGTGCAGATACACTCCACTCTCCACTTGTTGGGCCCTCCCNAAACCCTAAACCCTAAACCCTAAACCCTAAACCCTAAACCCTAAACCCTAAACCCTGAAAAAAAATAATGTTTATAGATTACAAAAAAAAATAAAATATAAATTCTGTCTCCTTGGCTATACCCCAGCTGCTATCGCGTATACATATATCCCTTCAAGTCCTTAGGGTTTAGAATCTAGGGTTTAGGGTTTAGGGTTTAGGGTTTAGGGTTTACGTCTAGAACCGCTTCGCTGTGAAAAGAAGAAATATAATTTGCTAGGGCTTTCCATGCCGCCCCGCTTTCTTCTCCCCCCGTATTGTGCAGCCGAGTGAGAGCAAACGCAGCTCGAGCCCTGCAAAACCCTAAACCCTAAACCCTAAACCCTAAACCCTAAACCCTAAACCCTAGAAATGGTATTGTTTGTATCTGTGTGAGTTTTGGGTGAAAATTTGATATTTTTTGGTGGTTTACGAGTTCATATAAAATTCTAGGGTTTAGGGTTTCTAGGGTTTGTAGGGTTTATATATATATTTGAGGGTTTAGGGTTTAGGGTTTAGGGTTTAGAAAAATACCTGAAGAAAGGGTGAGATCTATGAGCTGCTAGGGCTTTACTCAGAGCCAATACTGCATGCGCCTTCACCGCATCCTCTCCCCCTAAACCCCCCTGCTGCTGCTGCTGCGGCAGCAAACCACCAAGAGCTGCTGCTGCTTCTAGCTGGTAGCTGATGGAGGTTTCAGACAACAGCTGCTGCTCCCACATTGATCCGCTCTGACAACGACGAATCCTGCACAAACCCTAAACCCTAAACCCTAAACCCTAAACCCTAATTTTGAAATTCCATACGATATAAAACCCTCCACACTGTAATATATAATGCAAATACATAAATCTGCAACCACAAACCATTTTATAAAATCGAGGGTTTTCTAGGGTTTAGGGTTTTCTAGGGTTTAGGGTTTTCTAGGGTTTAGGGGTTTCTAGGGTTTAGGGTTT